GTATATAATACAATGTATAATAAGGGTGTACTCTCAAACTCTCTAATTTTATTTGAAAGAACGAGACTACATGTACACATGCAAAGGGATGTATGATGCATAGTACAGCTATTCAGGAGCCCATGAAAAGGTTGGGCTCCTGATTTATTACTTAGCTGGTATCCATATGATCCAAAGGTACTGTACAGGGGCCAGAGGAAATACTGCAAAACAGCAACCGACAGGAGAGGAGAGACCAAGGAGAATAGAACAGATAAAGACTATAAAAAGAAAGAGAAGTAGTAATAAATATAAAAATAGGCAAACACAATTCCTTACCAAAAAGAACAGAGACAAAACCAATCTTCAGTAGAATAGCTAAACTAGAGGGAGAAAGGAACATATAAATTATATAAGAATACACAAAAGGTAATCAACCTTGAGTCATTCAGTGTCCTCTCAAACTGCCAAACTATCCTGTTGTCCATAATGATGATAGAAGAGTAAAAAAAAGAAATTGCAGTTTTAGGCTATCAATCTTCTATTGCTATTGTCTTCTAATTAAAAAATGAGGCCTATTTTTAATCCTCGAACGAAAAGTGAAAATTTTCGAAAATCCATTCCCACCTATAGCAAACAAGAGGGTGTGCTGTTTTCGGGTAAACAGTTCCCACTCTTGAAATGCTACATATGAAAACATATGTCATTGCTTGATACACAAAATACACATTATAAAACAATGCATTATTTGGTTACTTCCTGATCGAACGTTTGTCGAATCAGTAAGTAGAGATGAACCTAAGCTAAAGGAAGAAGCATCAAGCAATGACAGGTTAGGAATGGTACAATATTACTGTGTAGTAGCTAATGTAAAGGGTCACCACTCACCTGTATAACACAATGTACTCTCAAACTCTCAAATTTTATCTGAAAAAAGGGACTACATGTACACATGCAAAGGAATGTATGATGCATAGTACAACTATTCAGGAGCCCATGAAAAAGGTTGGGCTCCTGATTTATTACTTAGCTGGTATCCACATGATCCAAAGGTACTACTGTACAGGGGCCAGAGGAAATACTGCAAAACAAATTGAGAGCTGAGGGCAGCATCTAATTCATCAAAGAAACCAGCAGACAGCATACATCAAAACAGGAACCAACAGGAGAGGAGAGACCAAGGAGAATAGAACAGATAAAGACTATAAAAAGAAAGAGAAGTAGTAATAAATATAAAAATAGGCAAACACAATTCCTTACCAAAAAGAACAGAGACAAAACCAGTCTTCAGTAGAATAGCTATACTGTAGGGGCCAGAGGAAATACTGCAAAACAGCAACTGACAGGAGAGGATAGACCAAGGAGAATAGAACAGATAAAGACTATAAAAAGAAAGAGAAGTAGTAATAAATATAAAAATAGGCAAACACAATTCCTTACCAAAAAGAACAGAGACAAAACCAGTCTTCAGTAGAATAGCTAAACTAGAGGGAGAAAGGAACATATAAATTATATAAGAATACACAAAAGGTAATCAACCTTGAGTCATTCAGTGTCCTCTCAAACTGCCAAACTATCCTGTTGTCCATAATGATGATAGAAGAGTAAAAAAAAGAAATTGCAGTTTTAGGCTATCAATCTTCTATTGCTATTGTCTTCTAATTAAAAAATGAGGCCTATTTTTAATCCTCGAACGAAAAGTGAAAATTTTCGAAAATCCATTCCCACCTATAGCAAACAAGAGGGTATGCTGTTTTCGGGTAAACAGTTCCCACTCTTGAAATGCTACATATGAAAACATATGTCATTGCTTGATACACAAAATACACATTATAAAACAATGCATTATTTGGTTACTTCCTGATCGAACGTTTGTCGAATCAGTA